CACAAACGACAACTTCTGGGATAGGTATAATGGCTTTAACAGTTTTATGGTATTTTGTATGCTTTTATCGGCATCAGGCCCATAGCCAGGATTTTGATTCGGGGGGGGGGGCTGAGTCTGAGCAAAAGAGGGTCTACCCTAGCAAACCTTTTGTATTGTTACCCCAATACCCCCATGCTTATGGGATATATTGAGCATGGTGATCAGATCATGATATGAATAAACATAACAGTTTAAATAATGCACCAGTAAGGCCTTCTCACGGACCACCATGAGAATTTGGGGGGGGGGCTGAAGCCCCCTAAGGCCCCCCCCCCCAGCTACATGCCTGATCGGCATTTATGTATATGTTGCAGCATATTTTATTTGGTTGTATATATGGCATCTCCAGCAAAGGATCACCGCCTTGTCGGGGCGCTGGAGCTTGAGCACCTCAATGATGTCATGAGCGAAACCGTGAAGGGACACCCAAGACGGGACGGTTGGCAGAGAGGTCAGACCAAGCGTGATCCCTGGGGAAGGCAATGGCAAACCACTCCAGTATCGCTTGCCAAGAAAACTAAATGGACCAGTACAACCAGAGATATGTCGGTATGCCATTGGAAGATGGGACTCCCAGGTCGGAAGATGGCCAAAATGCTACTGGGGAGGAAGCAGAGGATAAGTTCAACTAGCCCCAGATGTGATGACGCAGCTAGCTCAAAGCCGAAAGGAAGGCTAGCGGCCGACGGTACTGGAGGTGAACGACGAATCCGATGCTCTAAAGATCAACACACCATAGGAACCTGGAATGTAAGATCTATGAGCCAGGGCAAATTGGATGTTGTTATTGGTGAGATGTCAAGACTAAAGATAGACATTCTGGGGGTCAGCGAACTGAAATGGACTGGAATGGGCCACTTCACATCAGATGACCACCAGATCTACTACTGCGGACAAGAGGTACATCGAAGAAATGGAGTAGCCTTCATAATTAATAAGAAATTCGCTAAAGCGGTGCTTGGATACAACCCAAAAAATGACAGAATGATCTCAATTCGAGTGCAAGGAAAGCCTTTCAACATTACAGTGATTCAAATATATGCCCCAACCACAGCTGCTGAAGAAGCAGAAGTAGATCAGTTCTATGAGGATCTGCAGGACCTACTGGATAATACACCAAAAAGAGACATTATTTTCATTACAGGAGACTGGAATGCCAAGGTGGGAAGTCAAATGACAACAGGGATCACAGGCAAGCATGGTCTGGGAGAACAAAATGAAGCAGGACGCAGGCTGATAGAATTTTGCCAGGAAAACTCGCTGTGTATAACGAATACTCTCTTCCAACAACCTAAAAGACGGCTTTACACATGGACCTCACCAGACGGTCAACACCGAAATCAGATTGACTACATCCTTTGCAGCCAAAGGTGGCGGACATCCATCCAGTCGGTGAAAACAAGACCTGGGGCTGACTGTAGCTCAGATCACGAACTTCTTATTGCCCAATTTAGAATAAAACTAAAGAGATCAGGAAAATACACAGACCAGTTAGATATGATCTCACTAACATTCCTAGCGAATATACAGTGGAAGTGAAGAACAGATTTGAAGGACTAGATTTAGTAAACAGAGTCCCAGAAGAACTATGGACAGAAGTCCGAGACATTGTTCAGGAGGCAGCAACAAAGTACGTCCCAAAGAAAAAGAAAACCAAGAAGGCAAAATGGTTGTCTGCTGAGACACTGGAAGTAGCCCAAGAAAGGAGGAAAGCAAAAGGAAACAGTGATAAGGGGAGAGATGCCCAGTTAAATGCGCAATTCCAGAGGTTAGCCAGAAGAGATAAGGAACTATTTTTAAATAAGCAATGCATGGAAGTGGAAGAAGACAACAGAATAGGAAGGACAAGAGACCTCTTCCAGAAAATTAGAAACATTGGAGGTAAATTTCAGGCAAAAATTGGTATGATAAGAAACAAAGATGGCAGGGACCTAACAGAAGCTGAAGAGATCAAGAGAAGGTTGCGAGACTATACAGAAGATCTGTATAGGAAGGATAATAATATTGAGGATAGTTTTGACGGTGTGGTGAATGAATTAGAACCAGACATCCTGAGGAGTGAGGTTGAATGGGCCTTAAGAAGCATTGCTAACAACAAGGCAGTAGGAGACAACGGGATCCCAGCTGAACTGTTTAAAATCCTGAAAGATGATGCTGTCAAGGTGATGCATGCCATATGCCAGCAAATATGGAAAACACAAGAATGGCCATCAGACTGGAAAAAATCAACTTATATCCCCATACCAAAAAAGGGAAATGCGAAAGACTGCTCAAACTTCCGTACAGTGGTCCTTATTTCTCATGCCAGTAAGGTAATGCTCAAGATCCTGCAAGGAAGACTCCAGCAATACATGGAGCGAGAGTTGCCAGATGTTCAAGCTGGGTTTAGAAAAGGCAGAGGAACGAGAGACCAAATTGCCAATATCCGCTGGATAATGGAGAAAGGCAGGGAGTTTCAGAAAAACATCTACTTCTGCTTCATTGACTATTCAAAAGCCTTTGACTGTGTGGATCATAATAAATTGTGGCAAGTTCTTGGTGGGATGGGCATCCCAAGCCACCTTGTCTCTCTCCTGAGGAATCTGTACAAGGACCAAGTAGCAACAGTCAGAACTGACCACGGAACAACAGACTGGTTCAAGATTGGGAAAGGTATACGGCAGGGTTGTGTACTCTCACCCAACCTATTCAACTTGTATGCAGAACACATCATGCGATGTGCGGGGCTTGATGAATGCAAAGCTGGGGTGAAAATTGCTGGAAGAAACATTAACAACCTCAGATATGCAGATGACACCACTGATGGCCGAAAGCGAGGAGGAGCTGAGGAGCCTTCTAATCAAGGTGAAAGAAGAAAGCGCAAAAGCTGGGTTGCAGCTAAATGTCAAAAAAACCAAGATTATGGCAACAAGAATGATTGACAACTGGGAAATAGAGGGAGAAACCGTGGAGGCCGTGACAGACTTTGTATTTCTAGGTGCAAAGATTACTGCAGACGCAGACTGTGGCCAGGAAATCAGAAGACGCTTACTTCTTGGGAGGAGAGCAATGTCCAATCTCGATAAAATAGTAAAGAGTAGAGACATCACACTGGCAACAAAGATCCGCTAGTCAAAGCCATGGTATTCCCTGTAGTCACCTACGGATGTGAGAGCTGGACCTTAGGGAAGGCTGAGCGAAGGAAGATAGATGCTTTTGAACTGTGGTGTTGGAGGAAAGTTCTGAGAGTGCCTTGGACTGCGAGAAGATCCAACCAGTTCATACTTCAGGAAATAAAGCCCGACTGCTCATTGGAGGGAAGGATATTAGAGACAAAGTGAAGTACTTTGGCCACATCATGAGGAGACAGCAAAGCCTAGAGAAGACAATTATGCTGGGGAAAGTGGAAGGCAAAAGGAAGAGGGGCCGACCAAGGGCAAGATGGATGGATGGCATCCTTGAAGTGACTGGACTGACCTTGAGGGAGCTGGGGGTGGTAACGGCCGACAGGGAGCTCTGGCGTGGGCTGGTCCATGAGGTCACGAAGAGTCGGAGACGACTGAACGAATGAACAACATATATGGCATTTAATATAATTTTTGTGTCCCCCACAGACACATACTTCTCCATTTATATATCTAACCTAGGGTTTTATCAATTTTATTCTGTGCATTTGGCCCACCCACTGTGCTTTTATTTTATTTCTTCATCACATTATTTTGCATCTGTATATTTTATTTTCTGTTATTTTCTGTATTTTATTTTGATGTTATTATTTTCTTTTTGTATTTTATTTTATTTTGTTGTACTGTAATTCTGGGTTTGGCCTCATTTTAGCTGCCCCGGGTCCCCTTTGGGGAGATGGTGGCGGGGTATAAATAAAGATTATTGTTATTATTGTTATTATTGCCATATTGTAAGCTGCTCTAAGCCCCCCCCCCCTTTTTCAGGGTGAGAAAGAGCGGGATATAAATATAGTAAATAAATAAATAAATAAATAAATAAATAAATAAATAAATAAGGGGAAAGAATTAGCTGATATTTTCCCACAAGCTCAATAATATGTTTGTTGCTGACATTATTTTTGGGACCTTTTCGCATTACAGTTATAGCACTATGATTTTCTTTAACTGCCACAATTCCATCAGGGGTTCATAGTTTGTTATTGTTGTGTGCCTTCAAGTCATTTCTGGCTTATTACAACCTTTCACTGGGTTTAGGGGAGGATTTTTAGGACTGTTAGCTATGATACTATTGTGTTTAATCCAAGTAAGCAACTGCTCCAAAAGTAATAAACTCTGTAAAGAATTTAGGATTTCCTTGTCTTTGTTCATTTTGCCACTTGAAAGCTAGGCACTAATGCAGCACTCAAACTACGATACAACACAAGAATGTCTAGAATGGCATTTTAACAACATCAGCACCTGAATACAATTCATTCTCTTTGTTAGTGTGTTATGCTGGCCTTTAGGGATAATGATAAATATAGTGTTTTCCTTTGAATGTAGCCATTGTAGTATCTGGGATTTTCTGACAGTTGTGATAAAAAAAGGTAGTAGTAGTACATTTTATTGATTAGCCCATTGGCTGTATCAAAACATTTGACAAATGCATTTAACACATACACATACAGTATACTGTACTGTTGGAGCATGTAAGAAATCAGTTAGTGTGTGTGTCAACTGTAAGATAAGATGACGAAGTGGACTGGCCAGGGTGCTAGCTGAGTCTGGAACTTTTGGATACTGTTACTTTTTTCAAGCTTGAGCTGTGCAGGTACTTGCACAGATAAAGAGACATTTTGGAGTGTGTTCTTGCTTCATTAGCTGCTGGGAGGAGTTCTTCCACATGGATAAAGAAAGACCATTTTAGATCTCTCATAAAAGGAAAATGCTCTTTCATTTTCTGTCTTTCTAAACTTGTGAAGAAACTTAGACTGACTCTCTAATTATTACTTTTTCTTTCCTTTTCTTCTGCAGGCATTGTGTCTCTCATCTCACTGGCCATTCTGTCTTATGAACGTTATAGCACGCTTACACAAACGAATAAACGTGGCTCTGACTACCATAAAGCCCTTCTAGGCGTTGGAGGCTCCTGGCTCTATTCTCTGATTTGGACAGTACCGCCTCTCATTGGCTGGAGCAGCTATGGGCTTGAGGGGGCAGGCACCAGTTGTTCAGTCCGATGGACATCAGAAACACTTGAGTCAGTGACTTATATCATCTGTCTCTTCATATTCTGCTTAGCCATTCCCGTCATGGTCATGATATACTGCTATGCTCGCCTCTTTTATGCTGTCAAACAGGTAAGTGGGTAGAATTCAAAGACATAGCTATGTTAATCTGGAATATCTGTGTCCAGCTAGATCTTATAGGATCTTAGAGACTAACTTAGAGGACATTTATGGTGACATAAGCTTTTGTAAGTCTGCACGACTATGGAAATATGGGAGTTGCACTTTCATAGATTCTTTAAGACTTCTGTGCTAGTTTCCTTAGTTTGTAAAGGTATTAGTAGCTTAACCATAATATATAGGGCTGTCTGTAGGACTGATTGACTTGAATGAATTGGTAATGGAATAAGTAACTTTTTTTTTGTAATCCTTGTGGATATGAAAAAGGAGCTAACTGAATTGTGAACTGTGATTAATCTATGGTAATTAATTCTGTTGGCTGATGAGCAAATTTGGAATTGGTTGAGATAATTTCACAAATTGAAACATAGTTTAAATGCTGGGAAATTAATTGATTTATTAGGTTCTTATCAGCCTTTGTATCCTAATGGATAATGATTTATTCTTTGTCTGTAATAGCAGGATTGATTTAAAAGGAAGAGTTAATTAATTAACCAATTGTATATTTAATTAGGTTGGTGGTTTATGATTTCCTCAATTTGACTACTTTAAGAAAGCATCTAATTAACTGGCACTGAAATTAGATAGTATTAATATAATTGTATGGGAAAAAATATTGTGAAGGACATGAATATATTACACACACACACCAGGAGGTGAGATGCCACTAGAATTTGCCCAAAAATGAAAGGTTGGAGACTTTTCCAATTTCTTCTAATAATGTTTAACAAAATTTTGCAATACAGAAAATAATTAATTGCACAAGTCATTATTATGGCCTCACACAAATCCAAAGGACTGAATAATTCTAGGGAACATCAAAGCATTCAACATGTTATTTTTTTTAAAGGAAAAACAGATTTTGTTTTTCTTTTGGAAAATTGTTTTCAAAATAAAATCAGATGCTTTGAAGTGAAGAACCTAGGGATAGCTTCCTGCAACATCTATAGTAAAAAAAAAAAAAAGAGAGAGAGAGTAAGATATAATTCAGAATTATATCTGTCAGTATGAGGGTAAAATTTAAAAGGTATGACAAACAAACATTTTCCTCTCCTTTTAAAAATGTGTAGAGGGAACATATGTAGGAAAGCTAAAGAGAAGGTTCATTTCAGGGTTACAATGGTATGTGTGAGTAAATTGCATTACTGATCTTAAAATGCCTACATCTATACCAGTGTTTCTCAACCTGGGGGTTGGGACCCCTGGGAGGTGGTCGTGAAAGGGTTTCAGAGAGGTTGCCAAAGACTATCAGAAAATGTATATTTCTGATGGTCTTAGGAACCCCTTTGGCAGAGAAGGCTGAAGATCTCTCCGCCTGCCTGTCTCTTGCTTCCATAAACAGATGGCGAATCCGCCCATCAAAAGCCCTCCTCTGCTGTGATTGGCTGGCCTCTCAGGTGGCCTTTCAGCCAAAGGGAGTGCTGTTTCTGAGACTCCAAGTGGGGAGGCCCAATTCTATCATTGGTGGGGTTCAGAATGCTCTTTGATTATAGGTGAACTATAAATCCCAGCAACTGCAACTCCCAAATATCAAGGTCTTTTCCCCCCAAACTCCACCAGTGTACACATTTGGGCATATTGAGCATTCGTGCCAAGTTTGGTCCAGATCCATCATTGTTTGAGTCTCCAGTGCTCTCTGGAACTACAGCTCCAAAACTCAAGGTCAATCTCCATCAAACCCAGTTTTTTCTGTTGGTCATGGGAGTTCTGTGTGCCAACTTTGGTTCCATTGTTGGTGGAGTTCAGACTGCTCTTTGATTGTAGATTAACTATAAATCCCAGCAACTACAACTCCAAGATGACAAAATCAAATCCCCCCCCCCCCCAACCCCACCAGTATTCAAATTTGGGTGTATTAGGTATTTGTGCCCAATTTGATCCAGTGAGTGAAAATACATCCTACATATCTGATATTGACATTATGATTAATAACAATAGCAAAATTACCGTTATGAAGCAGCTACAAAAATAATTTTATGGTTGGGGATCACCACAACATGAGGAACTATATTAAGGGGTTGCGGCATTAGGAAGGTTGAGAAACACTGTTCTATACAAATGCAGATAGCAAAAGATGTATTCATGAAGAACAAAAATGAGAACACAGCATGAAAAGTGGCGAAATCTGTTTCGAAGCATGACATGTTTGTTAGCAAGTTGACATTCTATTTTGTAACATTATTTGTTAATTTAATCGTAAAAATTATTTCAGCAGACAGGATCATTATTTATACAAGAAAAGGATTTTCAGGTAAATACTGCAATCTAGCAAAACAAATCTATGTTTTAGAAAATCATTCTATTTGGCAACTTATAAGATGCCCGATCACCTAAAATCAAAAATCTATTGAACTGTCATAAGGACTGCTGCAATATATGGAGCCGAATGTTGGCTGGCAACAAAGGAAGCAGAACACCGCTTTGGTGTTTTGGAGATGAGGATGCTATGATTTACAGCTGGCGTCACACACCTTGACAGCATCTGCAATGGTGACATCCGGCAACACTTTGACATTGCTCCATTTGCGAACAAGCTATGAGAATCATGCCCCAGATAGTGTGGTCATACTCTCTGAGGTGAAGACAAGTCCAGTCACAAGATTGCTATTGATTTAGAAGTGCCTGGCAAGAAACCGAAGGGATGACCGAAGCAATGCTAGCTGGGCACGTTGCACAGTGATCTGAAGACTGCTGGCATACACTGTGACCAGACGCACGACTGGGTGAACGGCACCAATAAACCCTGCCATCAAGCAGGACAAACGCTGGGAAAAAAAAGAACAAGAATTATATTTGGACATAATCATTATGATTTATGCCTTATCATTTTTTTGCATATGATGTGTACACTTCTGTTGATATTAAGAGAAAAAGGGGAAAGTGTCTGAAGTCATGTAGATCCACTAAGCACAATAACTGATGCCCAGGGAGTAAAATTACTTTATGGTGCTCATATTCACGGGGATACATTCCTGAACTCTCTATGGATAATAGTGAATCCTACGGGAAGTTTCTATGGAGTCATACTGGAGATTTTAGCAAATTTCTAGAGAAGGGCTTTCATTAGGAATTCATTAGGTCTTCCAGGGTCACTCAGTGGAATAGTAACTTCAAACAGAAGCATATCATAAAATCACTTGGAATATGTAGAAAATTACTAAAGGAAACATTTTTGTCAGATGCCGGTAGATGAAACTGTGGGTATTGGTCCTAGAGGAATGAGCATTTATCTCTCTTAGCAGGTTACTTGTTTCACAGGAATATATTTCTCTGCTGATGTTCTAGGGAAGGATTCATAAGCTCTGCTGGAGCTCATACTTGAAGAACAGATGACATTTCCTTTCACGTCTGTAGCCGGGGGGGGGGGGGGGGGGACGGCCCTGTTTTCTTTATTCTTAGCTCCCTTTCTTCAAAGGGGGCAGAACCTGAAGCACTAACGTGATTGGAGATTTATGTATATTTGCTTTAATGTACTGTTGAAGCAGCAGCCAAAATCTGTCGCTCTACATTTTCTTTTGTATGTTCAGTCTGACTTCTGATAGTGACCCCATGTACACAGACCCTGCTATGGTGGAGGAGGGAACCCTTACTGCCAAGGGGTTTGATGCCACTTGATGGCCACCCTAAATGTTTCCCTCTGTTCCCTGTGTTTTGGAGGTCTTTGACCATGATATGGCCCCAACATTTTATCCGAGGCTTGCTCTGATGTCAGCCTGAGGCACTAAAGGAGGGAGGGGGAGAGGAGGAAATTCCTCCCTTCTCTCCCTTCCTTTCCCAGGTTTCCCTGTCACAAAGTGGAAAGAGTAGGTGCCATGTTGTATGGACTGATGCTACACAGGGGCTTGGGTTGAGGGGATGCGGGGGGGGGGGACTTCTATGTTATATCCCTAGGCCATGTTCCCCTGGCCAACTGATTCTGGGGAACATGGAATGAGTCAGGACAGTTGCAGCCATTTCCAGTGTGGAATCGGCCCATTGTCCTCCGTGCCCCTAAGATGGGGAAATCCCCAGAACCCTGCAGCAGGACTTTGAATAACTCGGGGCAAGATAACATTAACGAGAATATTGATCAACAATGGGGCTGATCCATATCTACATTGATTTAAAATACCATAGATGTTCCTACTGTCTCCAAGAGCTAACTTTGATCCTATATCTCAGATGAACTAAGGTATTCTCCTGAATCCAAATCTGGAACAAGCTGCCATCACACTACTGAAACCTATTGCTTATCTGGCCTTTGAAGAGGAAACAGTACAGTAAAGACACTACAACCTTGCCTTTTTGTAAATATATAGCTCATTTCTTCTTTGTTTACTTTGTTGAAATTTTTCTGTTCTCTGTCATCAGTGACAATAACAGAATGTTTTATAATTCTTTTAAAAAGAAGAATGAGCAGCAATAAAGTTTCCCTATGCCTCCCCCGTTCCACTGCCAATGTACACATTATATGCAGTTAGATATATGCTCTTCATTCTAGAAATAGAACCGAGGGAACTATCATGCACAGGATGACATTTGAATTGGACATGCGTTTATTGATTCTTCATCTGAATAAGCTTTCAGTTTTTACTTTAGTGAGGTAGAAATGTCCTTTATTTCAATGACATTTCCCCCTTAGTTAAAGCCCCAAAGGCCTCAACTTTTAGTGCGACACTTAGTATTTGAGAAAGCAAGGACTGGCCTTTGCATGAACATTTTACAATTATGGCTGTGAGTAATGCTAGAAGATGATATTTTGGATTTTAGGTGCTAACTCCTGGAGGATTCCTGTCAGCAGAGAGCAAAAAGCTATTACTTGAATGTCTTCAAGGATTAAATATTTGCCTGGTACAGACCTAGCATATTCACGAAGTACTCTTAACATTTAGATGATAAAATTGTAGTATTTTCAATAGGATCTGCAGTCAAATTGAGACAGTTGTAGCTGAGACTGCATGAACAAAACATGC